TATGTGATTACAGTTATTGGTATTAAACAATTGTGATATCGGTTTAATGATATTGTTAAATCTGCTTGTTAAATTACGTTAGACTTAAAACGCTAGGCGTCGAAATCCGTTACTGCGCCACAATGTCATGGTCAGCAGACTCTCTCACTTTGGACAGCTAACGACAAACAGATCTGTAAAACCGCCGCCGGCTCGCCGTAACAACATGAATCCGTTCGGCAATGTCGATTTCCTCCGGGAAAGCAAGGTGATCAAGATCTCGGCGTTCATCTTCGTGTCCGTTGCTTTCTTCTACTTGGGCAAGTACTGGTCCGATGGCAACCAGCAGCTCGTCTTCTTCTCTCGACAAGCTCCGGTGGTGGGAACGCCGGCGGAAGTGGCTCTCTCTCCTAATCTTGACAAGAAGTTCAACATTTCTGCTCTAATCAATGAAACGCAAAACGCAAACAGAAACAAAATCGGTTGATTATGGAAAAGCAGTGGAGAAATCTACCCTGTCTCCCTCTCCTTCTCCAGTTTTGCCTTCTGCCTCTCCTCCCCCTCCTCCTCCTCCGTATCAAATCAAAATCAATGGAATTGTGGATGAGAACGGAACGATGTCGGATGAGTTCGAGGTCGGGGAGTTTGATCCGGAATTCGTTGAGACTTGGGGGAACGACACAGAGATTCATGAGGAGAAGAGTGAGGAGTCGAAATATAAGTTTAAGAATTTGAAGTTTGGGCTGTGCAATCAGAGTATGAGGGAGTATACACCATGTATGGATAATGTAGAGGCCATTAAGAGGTTGAAGTCGACCGAAAGAGGAGAGAGGTTTGAACGGCATTGTCCGGAGGTGGGAAAAGGATATTGAATTGCCTAATTACTGTACCAAAAGGGTACAGGCTTCCAATTCCATGGCCCAGGAGCCGTGACGAGGTATTAGTCTCATTTTCAGTTGCATTTATCTCTTGTAGTTGTAAAAGCTAACGCATTTAGTTTCAATTTACATTTGGGTGGTTTCTTGTTCATATTAGTAAAATGCCTTAAAGTTCAAACTCAGCTTAGTTGATTCTTTATCCTTTATATTGTTTTGTTTAATCATTTTTATGGATTTTCCAAGAATGTTAAGGATCCATTTCTATATAAAATTAGAACTTGGAAGAGTGTATAGGGTCATTTGGAAGCTTTTCTGTGGCAGTTCTTCCTTATCATGTTATTCTTAATAAGATATGCTGCCTTAATGTGTAGGTATGGCTCAGGAATGTTCCTCATACGCCCCTAGTTGATGATAAAGGAGGTCAAAACTGGATTTCCAGAGCCAAAGATAAGTTCAAGTTCCCTGGAGGTGGCACACAATTTATACACGGAGCAGATAAGTACCTGGATCAGATTTCTCAGGTTCTTAATTTTAAAGGTTAATGTATGCATGAAGATAAAATAAGAAATGAGGTCTGCATTTCTTGGCCTCTGATATTCAGGTTCTTTTAAGCAGATGGTCCCTGATATCATGTTTGGTCACCACACTCGAGTGGTATTGGATGTTGGATGTGGTGCAGCTAGTTTTGGTGCCTATTTGCTTTCACGGAATGTCTTAACCATGTCTATAGCTCCTAAAGATGTCCATGAAAATCAGATTCAGTTTGCACTTGAGCATAATGTGCCTGCAATGGTGGCTGCCTTTGCCACTTGCCGTCTATCATATCCAAGTCAAGCCTTTGACTTGATTCATTGTTCTAGATGTAGAATCAATTGGACTCGAGATGGTATGCATTTTCTTTCCACGGTCCCTCTTTTACTGTTATTTCGTGGTAAAGGAGAGAGCGAAAAATACAACTGGATTGTGCATTTTACTAGATTTAGCATCTACCAACTTTGCTCACTGTAAATTTGGCAACCCTTTACACTGCTGTGGTAAGTGATGCTTATCTTCCTTTTCTAGTTGGGATTTTCACCAAAAGGACTTCCTTTCTCATTTCAATTTTTTCCTCCCTCTTTTTCTATATATGATTGTGCTACTGAAAAGATCATGTTTAATAATTTTTTAAGTTTCTCCTGTTTGCCTTTTCTTTCCCCAAAATCTCAAATTTGCTTTCTGAATATCTTATGATCTGTTTTTCCCTTGAAATGCATTGGGATAAAGATGGAATTTGGTTGCTTGAGGTCAATAGGATGCTACAAGCTGGTGGATATTTTTCCTGGGCAGCACAGCCAGTTTATAAGCATGAAGAAGCCCTTGAGGAGCAGTGGATAGGTATCACCAATTCAGTCTTCAGTTTGCTTTTGAATTGGTTGATGAGTTTGTCCTGATAACTTAGTAATTTGATCCTCAGTGATCAGCATGAGACCTAGTGCAGTAGATGAGTAAACATTTTTTCATTTTATGAATAACTTGTCCTTGTAAAAGACTGGCAACTAAAACATTGATCACCTTGGTAATATGGGAAGGCTATACCTTGGGGTCATCAAACTAAACAGGAAAGAGTTGTTCAACAAGTAATATGGAATTTAATCTGTTTCAAGCTTTTTGAGTTAGAAAATTGGGTTTCTGGATTGGCTGACTTGAATTTGATTTTATCTTATCTGGGTGACCATGTTGATTATGTAACATTGCTGTCTGTGTGATACAAAATTAAATACTAAATTGCCTAACAATATGTTTCTGTCTTTCTTTGTCTCCAGAGATGCTTAACCTTACAGCTCGTCTTTGCTGGAATCTTGTAAAGAAGGAAGGCTATATTGCAATCTGGCAGAAGCCCTTTAATAATATTTGTTATTTAAGTCGTGAAGCAGGGACAAAACCTCCTTTATGTGATCCCAATGATGACGTGGACAATGTTTGGTATATTTTTCATCTTGTCTTTCTTAAAATCTATGGTATTGTGAACATTTTCCATCATCTTTATAATCTGCCGAGTTTTATCATTTTAGAAGAGAACATAAAAGATGTAAAATCTTTTGAATGATGTATATAGCTAAATTAGTTCAAGCATCACGTATAAGTCCAAAGGCAAGATAGCCCAACCTTTGGAACATTAGGTACAGAATGTTGTAAAAATGCAGGCGAGTTCTCAGTTTGCAACTCGATGGCATTAATTTAACCTTATGATTTTCTTGTTATAAGAGTTTTCAAGTTATTTAGTCTCATAATTTTTTGCATGTTTATTTAGGTACATTGATTTGAAGTTGTGCATTACTCAACTCCCTGAGAACGGATTTGGTGCAAATGTTGCCTCATGGCCTGCCCGTCTAGAAACTCCTCCTGATAGGCTCCAGAGCATACAAATAGATGCCTACATAACCAGAAATGAGCTCTTCAAGGCAGAATCAAAATTTTGGAATGAAACAATAGCAAACTTTGTTAGGGGGCTTGGTTGGAAGAAGATAAGATTAAGAAATGTGATGGACATGAGAGCCAGCTTTGGAGGGTATCATGTGTCTCATCTCTACCATACCATTAGATTTTTTTTCTGTTTGTCTAGAACTTATGGCCCTTTTTTTTTCCTTCCAGATTTGCAGCAGCATTAATTGAGAACAAGCTTGATGCTTGGGTTCTAAATGTGGTTCCTGTTAGCGAATCCAATATCTTGCCAGTTATTTATGAGCGTGGACTACTAGGAGTCATGCATGATTGGTATTTTCTTAACCATTTCTCAAGTGTGGCTCCTGCAAACATTTATCCATGCCCTGAAATATTCTCCTCCTTTTTCTTTTTTCCCTTGCTCAATATTTTGGATTACTTTGTTGAACTTTTTTCCCAATTTGATTGCAGCATGTGCTTAATTTTTACCATCCACTCATCATTCATTGATTATATGATATTTTTCAGGTGTGAGTTGTTTGATACATACCTCAGGACGTATGAACTCTTGCAAGCAGCTGGTCTCTTCTCAGTTGAGAGGAAAAGGTTTGCTCAATGGTTTATTCTTTGGCCAAAAAAAAAAAATCTACAATCTAGTTTTTTCCCCATTGGTGCAGTTTGTCAATTTCTATCCTCTTCCCACATCAACTTCAATACATTGAGGGGGAAGGAGCAGAAAAAATATAATTGAATTTCAGACTTTAAGTATTAATGAACTCCATTGATTTATTTTTCAGAAGTTATGCATAGGAAGAGAAAGGGCTTCTTTTTGTCCTTTGGGTGGCTGGGGGAGTGGGTTTCTAGCATATAAGGGTTCTGTTGGAGATGGAAGGTTAAACTTTCTGCTTATCATGAATATGGGTATTGTTTACTTATTATTCATTTATTTCCTTTTTTATTTCAGATGTAACATGTCTACTATCATGCTTGAGATGGACCGGATATTGAGACCTGGTGGGCATGCTTACGTTCATGATTCTATTGATGTCATTGATGAACTTCAAGATATAGCAAAGTCCATGGGATGGAAGGTACACCTACATGAGACGGGTGAGGGTCCTAATTCAAGTTACAGGATCATGGTATGCGAGAAGCACCTCCTGTACACAAGAAAAAGCCAGAATCAAAACAATTAGATTGCCTTTTCCTGCTAACAGCTAGACAAAGATAATGGTTGTTGCACAAGTCCATCTTCTTTTCCATCTTGTATGATGGGAAGGATGGATGCTCATTGAAACTGCCTCAAGATAGAAAGAGCGAATGAATTCATTTTCTTAATATCTACCATTTCAGATCATTCACTTTAAAAACACATGTAATTGAAATTCATTTTTTTATTTAATTTTGATAATGTATTTTAAAATAGATTTACATACTCCAAATACAAATACATGTTCCCAAATGTAACCTTAATCAAATCTGTTTTGGACTTACACAGAAATAAACCTGACCTCATAATTTCAATCTCAAACACTTGAATAGTCTGTTGATGATTTGAATTATACAGAATATGCCATTTTAAATCACCACTTGAGTTTTGAGTATCAGTTCAAAACAAATCACCACCCTGAGTCATCCTCCCGTGCCAAGAAAAAAATAATAATAAAATAAAAAACACAAAACAAGGTAGATTATATTCCATTAAACTTCAGGATGAACATCCTCCAGAGTTCTTACATGCTGAATGAAATTCGAATTTATAGGTTTGAGGTGATCCCTTGAATGCCTAGTTTTGCCTTAACAACCAAAGTACTAAAATCTCAGGTTTATGAGTTTATTTACTAGGGCCTCGGTGTCCACTTTCTCTGGCCTTGACCAGGATGCTGAGATTGCATTTGTAACTGAAAGGATGGTGATTGTCTCCTGTTCTGAAATTGATGTTGACCCTGAGGGGTTGGGCGTCTTGGATACCCATATTGAGCCTGCATTTGAGAAGAACTCACAGGCAAGTACTGATGGTGCGTTTGAGTTTGAGGTGAGTTCCCTGCCTGGTAATGATGCTGCATTTGTGAGCTACCAGAGCTACCAGCCCGGTAATGATGCTGCATTTGAGGTGAGTTGCCAGCCCGGTGTGTCAGGTTGGGCAAACCATTGTACCTTGAGTAATTGACTGCGCCATTTGTATTGAATGGAAGTATATGTGGTCTGGCCAAAGTAGCGAGGAGAGAATTTCTAGTCTGATTGCCCGAGACAAGTTTACGATGAGTTGTCACAAATGCTTCTGATATCTTTGTCAAATTGTTGAGACTAACAGTCCTGGCAGTATTTGATTCTTGCTCAAATGGATCCACAATCTGCACAGCCAGGAGCATTAGTTGTTGTTGTTGGTCACAAAGACAGCACACTGTCACACACAAACATGAAGAGAGAGAGAGAGATATACAAATAATGCTTTATTCTTTAGTAGCCATCTCGTATTGCTGCTTAAATATTCCCACTGTCCAGTGAAAGGGCAGATTCCTAGCTCATGGGCCTTCAAATTTATGTCACAAAACTGCAGAAGGACTAGGGTTGATTAAAATATGAATACTTATAGCTTTGCAACAAAGGAAACGAAGAAATAAGGAATAGATGCACTATAATTTACTTTGAAGGTGATTATTGAATAAATTACCTTTGCAATAAACGAAACAAAGAGCTCAGACAAAGAACTCCGATTAGGTAGTCTAGATCTGTCTGATTTAAACCTGGCAATGTTGTTAGTACATACTTCCGCAATATGTCTCTCTGCAACAGCCCTAACACCTGCATGAGGAGTACGAGAAACAATTGCTTCTTAAAAACTGTAAGATTTTAATAATATTCATGTTCCTAACAATATTAATATTTATTGGGTATAAAATATTCAGGTTAACTCAGTCCAGAGATAAAAATACCTCTAAGATCATCAACAAGATTTCCTGGATATAGATATCTTAAAGGAGGTAAAATTGCAGGTTGACATGTCTGCAAAATCAAAAGGAAAATGAACAAAGAGAAAAGTACTTAGATGCATGAACACAGAAGACGGATGAAAAATAACAAGAACAAAATAAACAAACAGACAACAACGAAGAGTTCATACATGTTATGACTCTGCTAAGTAAATCATTAACCAATTCACTTCTCCATTTTTCTTCAATTGATTCTAGAAATGATGATAACAATCACCTGAAAATGAAAGATAACCAGCAAACTCAGAGAATATGAATTTAATGTCCCATTCTTTGGATCGTTTATATCATGAGCTTTGGCCCATTCCTTTACCTACAAAAGCAAACAATGACAACATTAGAATAGTAGATATCTTCTTCACAACTGCAAATGCCAGTTTATTAAATAAAATACCAGTAAAACCATCTCACGGAATCGCCCATCAATCTCATTAATCCATAACAAGAATTTGGACTTCATTTGGCCCTCAAGATTATCAATCGAAACATCACAAGAGATGCCATGGGGGCTACTGACAAATTTCAGAATGGGAACAGTTGCACGGGAAATAAATTGTAATCTGTTCCATCCACCTGCAGACCAATGGTGTTAATACACAGGAGCCACTCTTATGATGAATTATTGAACCATAAAGCCTAGGCAATGTATCCTACCCTTCAGCCATATACATAAATATATTAGTAAGCAACAAGAAAGACAAAATTTTAACTAAAGGAGATGGCATGAAACTACATTACCCCTCTGTCTCAAAACTCTTAACAGTAAATCAAGTAGACTCCTTTTTCGCTTCTTTGCAGACGATGAAATATGTGAACCATTCGGCAACTCAATGGATATATCCAAGTCTCCCCAACGTGTGAAGAGGTTAGACACAAAAGACCCAAATGGCTCCACAGTTGCACCTGATTACACATGTCATACATTGTTAACTTTCAAACCCTACACCTGATTGCAATACCTTTAGGAAAACACACTAACTTCATCAATGACCATGGCCCGTAGGTTTCACTGAGAAGAAAGATGGCTGACATCTGTCACCATGAGACCTCCAAGAACTTTCACCATTTCATTTACGGAAGTTCAATATTCAGATTCTAAAAATAAATAAATAAAATCCAAAAGTCTAAATCAAACTAATCACCCTTTAATCAATTACTTTCATCTCATGGCAATATAGTAAGTAGAAATTTTCCATTTTTGACTCTTGTGAATTTCTGTTACAGTCTTCTGCAATATTCTAATAAGATGTTAGTTTCCAGCAGTAACCGGGTTACTGCCCTGCTCTGAAGTCTCAACATCTTAACAGACAAAGTATTGATGTCTCTTAGCAACCATCTAATTATGGAAATAAGGAAAAGTAAACTACCCCAAAAACAGAGAGAACTAGGCAGGCAGACTAAAATACAGCAAATACAATCAATTACCTCTAAAATTTTCCAGTGATTGAACAACCTGTCGTAAGTCAGCAATGACTCTATCTCGTGTCAACCGATCCTCCCGCAAGGGTTTTATTGCTTCAAGAATTTCCTTGAGAGTGGACTCCAAAAGACCATATGAACCCATCTCCACTTACAGTACGAAAATGCTGAAGGTATAGTTGATAGATATCATAAAACTAAGACTCCAGAGTTTAGACAGCCAAGAGTGCTAATCAGAGATGCATAACAAAAAGTAGCAGTGGTAAGATGAATGTGATGGTGAAATCATCTTCAAACATCTGACGAAGTTAACACATGGAAAGACCTTGCAAAAATAATTGTAACATAAAAATATGGTAATTTTCCAGACAATGAAGATCAAAGACATGAAACATCAAACAAAATCCCAGAACAGAAAAGCTAAATCCAATTTACATCTGATCGGAAATCAAATAAAAAAGCTGGTTGTGCAAAGAAGTATGGTCAACTTAAGCAGACATATGAACGAACACTTGAAAGGCATAATATACAACATCATCAAGAACAACATAACAATAAAAAACGACGAGATTACCGTCAATAGCAGCAAATATAGCCCTCTTTCCTTCTCTTTTCTTCTGGGTCTCAAGATAAATTCCTCTTTAGCAAGGAAAACCGAAAGTAATAAAAGGACAAAATAACCAATCAAAACACAAGCAGAAAAAGCTTACATTCCCTACGACAAAAGCGTTATATACGTAAATGGAGATGGAAAGCCAAGTATTGAGCTGGAACTGTATTGGGTTTGCTGACTTGCCATAGCAGAGGGCGTCTTCTTCTTTATTGCTACCAAAAAGTAGAAGAAAAAAAACGACTGCCGGGTGCGACGCTGATTGTGATTGGGGGAAACGGTTTTTACTTGGGTCAAACACAAGACTTTTGGATGTCTTGGTTTAATGAATTGTGAAATAGAAAAAGAGAGGTAAAGCTTGGAAACGGCACCACAGAATTCTTTTCCCTCCTCTTCTTTTCCTATATGGCGTTTTTGACTTTTTAGTGGTTTAAGAAGAAACTAGGGATTTTTTTTTTAGTTTATATATTTATAACTTAGTTTGGCTCGGAGGGGAGAAGGAAGTTGAAGGGGTGAGAAAAACAATTTTCTTATTTAAAAATAACAAGACCCGATTAGTAACGTTGTTTTTGATTTTATGTTTTAGTTGCTAAAAATTTTAAAGCACTAGTAAATTAAAATAAAAAGTTCTATCAATTATAAAAAAAGAAAACCAACAAGTTATTAATTTCAATTTTCAAAATATCAGTTTTAATTATTT